CCCTATTTGTTAAACTAATACCAAAAAAAAACAAACAAAAAAAAAAAACCCCTCAATTCATTAGTCAAATAGTAAGCAGATCTAATATTTTATAGATTTTTTTTTTCACTTTAAAAAATGTGTTAATGTGGGGATGATGTGGTGTCAAAGACAGTTTGCAGGAGTCAGTTCTGCTCTGCCCTGTAGCTCTGGGCGTGGAACCCAGGTGGTCAGGCTTGATGTCAAGCGCCCCCCCCCCCCCGCCCCAGTCACTTGCCAGCTCTCACAGATTTCTCTAGTGCAGACTCCCCCATAAATACACACCACGATAGCCCTGTACCTAACACCAACCAGCAGCGGAGTCACGGCTCAGCAGGCAGTAAATAGGGGAGGATTCAGGAAGGAGGCACTTCTGTCACAGTTCACACTTTTCCCACCTTAGAGAAACCACTTCTAAGTGTTGGAATCAATAAAAATGAGCTTTCAATATCCTTGTTTCTCCTTTACAACTTTGCTTTGTGTTGTTTGTGATTCTGGGGATTGAACCCAGGGCCCCATTTGTAGGCAAGTACTCTCCCACTGCGCTCCACAGAGCTCCCTGCCAGCCAGGTGTGGTGGCACACGCCTCTGCCTCCAAGTCCCAGCACTTGGGAGGCAGAGGCAGGTGGGTCTCTGAGTTCAAGACTAGCCTGGTCTGTGATTTTCACAAAAAGGTAGGAGTGTGTTTTCTTTTCCTTTTTTTTTTTTTTTTTTCCTGAGACACTGTCTCAAAAACAAGCAGACACCAAAAATCAATACACCTATTGTGGACATTTTTAGAATGAAATATAAAAGTCTGCTTTTTTTCGGGGGGGGGGGTCTTGTTTTGAGAAGGTTTTCTCAGTAACAGCCTTGGCTGGCCTGAAACTCATTTTGTAGAGCAGGCTGGCCTTGAACTCTCAGAGATCTGCCTGCCTCTGCCTCCTGAGTACTGGAATTAAAGGTGAGTGCCAACACACAGGTCAGAAACTCTACTTTTTGACATAAAACTTTGGTAGTATTCTCAGTATCTTTGTGCTTTCTTTCATAAGTAAGTATCAAAAACCCAACAAGATTGGAGGCTTTGAGGACCAAGCTGCCTTCTGCCTTGGTTTTCACTGTATTAAGTATGACTACGATAATATCAAGTTTTGTTTTTCATTGTTTTGTATGAAAGGCCCAAATGCCACAAAACTTTCAAAATAAAGTACAAATAGAGGCTGGCAAGTGGTATCACCAGCAACAGCTAATTTTTTTTTTTTATCATGCAAAGTTTGCCAAAACATAAGGTGTTAGTGAAAAATACATCAACTCAAAAAATATCATTCCACAAAATTTAATTTTCTTGTTATTTCACTGAAATCACTAAATTGTTAAAGAACAAAATTTTCACATCACATTCAGTCATTATTTATGAAAGGCCAGAAATTTTACCAAGGGATAGAAGAAAGAGGAGGAGGAGAAGCACCTACAGGTGATCCACGCCACTGAAAACCTCCTTTTTGCAGAATTTTGCACAGCTACCCTTCCTCTGTTTTGCCGTTGCCACTGAAGTCCCTCCTGGATTCTCAAGCATTACCTGTCCCCGCTGGCCACACAAAGCACAAACCTTCAAAGCATCAGAGCTCTCTCAGGTTTCCTCTGAAGGGGCGAGGGGCAGGAAGCAGTTGTGGTGGGGCATGCCTGTGATTTCAACACTTGGAAGCCAGTCCGAGGCCTGCCTGGGCTGCGCAGTGAAATCCCATCTCTCCTCCGGAGTGAGGTGGGGGAAGAAGGAGAGGAGAATGAATGAATCTACTCACCCTTGACAGGGGTCCATCTCGGTGTGGCTCTGTGCTTGGAGCCTCACAAGAAGAGCTGAATGAGTCCAAGAGGGTTAGCACCGTATCCTAAAGTCAGAACCGGAAAGTCAAGACGTGGCCAGACAACTGAGTGCCCTGGAGGTCTTTGCAAGGCCCCTGAAAGAGAACACTGCCTCCTCCTAGGGCCAGTTCTCACAGCAAAGAGCGTCACACTAAATGCAAAGCCCCTAGCTGCTCGTGGCTCGCCACGTTTGCCACTGGCATGAGGCAACATCACACAGCAAGGCGTCCCTTCCCCAAACCAAGGGCAAACCAATTCTGGTAGCACGGCTGTCTGGGCTGTGTTTCCTCTGGTTTTCCTCTATCTTTGTTCTCAGCCACTGCTCACACAACACTCAAACTCTCCCTACCAATCACACACACACACACACACACACACACACACACATACACAAATAAATATAAAATTACACGATGAACAGAAGCGAAGTAAATAATCTAGCTGAACCTATCCAATTTCCTCTTCGTTATTTCTTTCCCAGCTTTTAAGTTCTGAAAGTCTGTCTCCGTCTCCCGTGCTCACGGCCCTTGGAGTTGTAGAAACCCTGAGGCTTCCTCAGTTGACACCTGGACCTAGCACAGCAGGACCAGTTCCCCAGGCGCACGGCTGAGACCTCCCAGTTGACAGATCTCCTTGGCTTAAGCCACTATTACCTGACAGCTGTATGCATTTGCACTGACCAGTTTGAGAAATAGCTTCCACGACAGGGTCCCCTGTGCGTCCCCTCCTCCATCGACCACTAAATCTGTTTCTATGGAACTTTTGAGTAGGTTCTCTGGTAGACATCCCCAGTTAGCTGTTCCTTTGACACCTCCACACATCTAAAACAAAACGCAAGGACTCTTCCCAAACCTGTTCATCTCCAGCGTACTCTCACCAGTGGATGGCACCGACAGCGATTCAGGCGCTGGAGCGGAGGACCCCGGAGTCCCAGCACAGCTCAGATCCCCTCTCTGGTTAAAGTTCTTGATTGCTGGGGCGCTTTCAGGCAGTGCAGAGCCGAGGTCTCGCTCGCCTGCCTCTCCGCAGAGCCTGGCATTCAGGAGACTGCTCACAGCTTGTGTCAACTGTGAGATAATGAAGTGAATATCCTCTGGATTCCCTGCTGTGGAGATCCGACACTGACTTGAGTGAGGGCAGCTTAACAGCTGCTTCTCCGACATTCTGTTGTTCAGAACAGAGCGCTTCGGGCCAATGAGGCCCCACCATGCTGTTTCTATAGTGATGAAAGAACCAAACCCTCCCCAGCTAACTCGATAGAGCAAGGTCAAAGGACTCTGGGTGATGACTTTCTCCTCAAATGTGACAACTGGGGGACAAATGAACTGTCGTCTAAGGGAAGCACCTGGCATGCCGGCTCCGCCCTTCTGAAAGTCCTGGCTGGTGCTGCAGGCAGTTCTGGAGATTTCTGCCTGGGCTTCTCAACCACTAGGGAATAAGCCCTGAGTTCCGAAACATCTTGATTTGGTGTGAAGTGAACCCTGATTTGTGCTGATGGGGTCTTGTTTCCCTAAAACATTGCGGTTTCTTTAAGACTCTCTACTTGGAAAGGAACCACAGGGGGAATGAATCTCTGAAAGAATTAAGGTAAGATCCTGGGAAGGTTTTCCTGCTGGTTGATTATAACCCAGACCCTTTCTAAAGCTCTGCTTGCTCACAGCCAGCCCTCCAGGCTGAAACCCCAGGGAAAAAATACAGGAAAGGAAAAGAGGGGAAAACACACACACACACACACACACACACACACACACACACACGGCCATTGCCAAAAGGCTCTCAAAGTACTCCGCAGCAGCTTGCATGTCTCAGTTTATCCGGACACCCTCAGGCTCACGTCATGATTTGCTAATAGCCTGTTCTGATAGCTCATTAGGTTTGGATTGCTGGTTTTTAGTGCTTTGGAAATGATGCCTGTGGATACAACAAAAACTTTTCTTTTTCAGAGCAAGTTGATAAACATCAAAGGTATTTTTTCTTTTTAAAATGAGAAAAAAAGGAAACAAGCAAACACTTCCCACTACAAATCTGCTTAAAAATATAAGCTTCGTAGAAGCTTAGAGCTGTGAGCCAAGGGAAATGGCTAAGGGAGGAGGGGCGCTTGCTGCGCTTCAGAGGACCCTAACTTGGCCCCGATCAACCTCATCTCGTGGCTCCCAAATGCTTGTACCTCCAGCTCCAGAGAACCCCATGCTCACTTCTCTCTCTCACGGCTCCCTGAACGGTTGTGCTGCACACTCACACAGACAAAAACACCTACACGCAAATAAAAACAAATCTTTCTTAAAATGTTTACAATTGCAATGATGTGGAGACCTATCTCAGGCTTGTTTGACTGGTGTTTAAAATTTGCTCTAAAATAAAGTGATGTTGGAGGAGTGAGATGGAGGGAGGGTGAGAATAGACAAACAGGATCAGCCACATTGACAGTTGTTGAAACTGGGGGATGGGCACATTTATTATGCTCTTTCTTTACGTTTGGCATATTTTTAAATTTCTTGATTGTAAAAAAAAAAAAAAAATTACATTTCAAAAACCATGGGTGTATTTCTACATAATAGAAACTCATGGTATTATCTTCAAAAAGATTTCCAGGATGCAAATATAGCTTGCTCCTGTTTATAGAAATTTATGTAAGTCTCTTTCTTTATTTATCTTTCTTTATTACTTCTTTTTTTTTTTTTTGAGACAGGGTTCCTCTGGGTAGCCTTGGCTGTCTTGGACTCTTTGTAGACCGTGCTGGCCTTGAACTCACAGAGATCCACCTGCCTCTACCTCTCCAAGTGCTGGGGTTATATGCACGCACCATCACACCCAGCTAATCTGTTTCCTCTGAATGCAGAAAATACTGGAAGGCATTCATTCAAATATTTTTACTGGTCATCTCCGGATGTTGTGTTTTTGATTTTTTTTTTTTACTTCTTTATTCTTTTCTGTTGTGATTGTCTCTGTAATGAGCTGATGTCAATTTAATATACATATACATACAAATAAACCTATACTCCTTCTCATGGTCTGATTAAATATGTACAGCAATGCAACCCTGCATGAACTGGCATGAGAGATATTTTTCAAAAGGCTCATTTAAAAATTTACACTTGAAACTTTAAAAAAATTTAAATTTATAGGCTCACACTCACACAGGCTCAGAAAAGTAGGTTTCCCTGCTGTCCCAAGTCTAATGTGTAAAGAAAGGCCCACCTGATTCCAAAGCACCCCCAAAATTGTCTTAACAGCTTCTGTAAGGGGAAACCATACATATAATCCTGACATGCTGACATGATTTCTAGCGTTTAACGCATTGAGCTACAAAGTCTCTTTCTCTGCATGTGGTCATACATATCGCAGGCCCTGGGGATGGGCACAGAGACGGATCTGGGGCTGAAATGACAAGGACACTACTCATCATACCACATCCTCCATCCTATCTGTCGACTCCCTGCATATCTGTGTCATTGAAAATTGTGGCTCTCCGAGGCTGGGGTCACCTGGGAGTTGTCTTCCACGCAGCAGCAGTCGTGATGGGGGTTGTTTTAGTTCCCTTTTGCAATTCAACCAGGTGACCCCCGTTGAGAAACAGGCTCGCTCGGGCTCCGCTTGCAGAAGCAGAGTGAACTTCCCGGAGAAGTTCTGTGCAGGACCTGCTGTGGAGATCTCTGGACACTCGGAGCGAGCTAATGTGAATCTGAGGAGGGCGAGGGGGGCCTAGAAACCAAGGGGGGGTGCTCCACCCTCTCCCCGTGTTAGCTCTGTGCCAGCCGGGTGTCACCTGGAAGCCTAGGGAGCAGCAGTTAGGCCAGGATCGTATGCTTGGGTGACGGTAATAACTGCGGAGAGATTTCATTGCTTCCAGGCTCAGTGGCCAAGTGTGAGGTGTCACTCTACCGTGCCAGCCTGCGTCAGCTCAGCATCGTTCTCTGGGCTGCCCCTTGACCCTGCCCAATCTCTGTCTGCCTTCACTCTGAGCGGCTTACCTCTGTGCGGTTGTTTTCTCATCTCAGCAAGAGCCCTTGGCGGCGTCTGACCCTGACCATGTACCCCAATCCTCTCATCTACTGCACCTGCTGGGACCCCTGGAACATGGGACCACGGAAGCTAATCAAGACCCCTCATCCACTTCCAAAGACCGCCCCAAAGAAGCCTAAGTAAGAATAAGCTGGGTTGGGCCAGGTACAGGAGGTGAGGACTTCCTTTGGAGTCTTCTGGGTCTTACAAGATTCCTCAGTCAACGGCTTGACACAAATTCTCCACAGAACAGGAAGCCCCGCCTTCCCTCCTTCCCACCTCCCCACCCTCCCAGACAGCCTGGATGCCGCCCTGATCTTGCAGGCCTGTCTCACTCAAAGACCTTTCAATAAAGAGGCATCAGCTTTGCAGTACAGTGTGTGCATGGGCGCATGCGTGCGTGTGTGTGTGTGTGTGTGTGTGTGTGTGTGTGTGTGTGTGTGACACCTAAACGCAGAGCTTTGGTGGCAGCTGCCCCTCCCCAGCAACAATGGTTCTTGCAAATAGTGGACAAATAAAGCGCCGTGGACCTGAGGCCTACAAGGCCTCAAACCTCCATGATCCCAGTTGCACCCCACGCTCCGATCTGGAGTCACGTGGCTCTGCCCTTACTGGGGAGCACTGTGACAGCTCTTAATTTCCAGTTTGTTTATGTATTGCTTTCAGCCCAACTCTTATTTCATCAGTTTCAAGAGACCGCAACCACCTCCTGCCCCAACAAGTGAAACCTGTTTCCTCAAAGTAAGTGCTTTTAACTCCACGGGGCAACGGGTGAAATAACACCACACAGGATGAGCTCGCCCTGAGAGGGCCGGAGTACAGTCCTGCCCACATGCACTTTGGGGTTCTCCCTCCCTGAGGCACTGTACAAACAGATTCTGCAGCTGCAGAGGCACGCACACACACTCATTCGTGGGCACACACACACATACGCACACCCACAGGACCTTTGCGTCTACGGCTGAGTTGAACTAGTTTTCTACCAAGATTGTCAGAAAATTGCCAGAACCCATTGATTTCTGCCCCCCACCCCCAAACCAAATCCATGGTGATTTCAGCTCAGAGAAAGCAGTGACTGGTGGGAGGAACAGGGCTGTGGAGAGGTGCCAGCCCGATGCCCTGGAGAGTGAGGAGCTGGAGCAGAGTGGGGGGGGGGGGTCAGAGGTCAGGGGGAGGCAGGGGGTCAGAGGTCATCAGGTGGCTGTTCTGAGAAGTTGCCCCACCTGTGCTCTCTGAGTGTGGCCGATGCAGTTATGAAGAGGAAAGGGTGTCAGTCAGAGAGAAGGTTCGGACACTGTGCCGATGACCGCTGGGGACACTGGAAGCCTCAGAAGCTCCCAGAGGCAAGGAATCGGTTGCCCTAGGGCTCCAGAGTGTGGCCGCACCCACATCCGCCCTGGACTGCCCCCTCACTCAGGCCCTCTACCAACGCGTCCCCTAGCTACCCAGGGGTTCCCCCAGAAGGTCAAGGGCTGGCCTTGGAGAACAAAGGTCAGAGATGGCAACTGTCAGGGTGCAGCCACTGAGCTGGCCTCTGCTGCACTGTTACTTTCTTGAGAGCATTTTCCTTTTACAGAGTCAGGGGCCAGCCAGGAAAGCCAGAGGAGAGCAGCAAATCGCCATCTGTGAGTAAAGATGGGTAAAGGGAAGGGGAGAGCAGCCATGTAGCCCCTACTGTGTGCCAGCATGGGGTTTTTATACTCTCACTCTGCCAAATCTCAACAGAGATCCTAGGAGCAATCCTCATATCACTAAGAGTGCACATTTTATGTAGCTGGTAAATGGCCAGACTGTAACCAGACCCAGCTACTCTCCCCTACCCTTTGTAGGTCCCTTAGGGGAAAACAGAGACGGTGCTGGATTAGGCTATATCTCATGCCCCAATACAGGAAGCCCCTGCCATACTGGAAGCCACAAATCTTGAGGCAATGGCTGTCAAGACACCTAGGACCAGCAAGTGAAAGGACACTGGCCTTAGAACACGAGTCTCCACAGTTCTGACATGGCATGAGATCAGGTTATGTTTCTATTTTAGAAAATGAACTTTTTCATAGGGCTTCCTGATGACTTTTGGTTTTATCATTTTCTCCATCCCTCCCCTTCCTAAACATGGGTCACGCAGTCCTGTAATGGGCTGTAGCGGTCAGGATCAAAGTAAGCAGGCGGGAAGGTTGTGGACAAGAGTGAAAGCCGAGAGATCAGCCAGGACGGTATCGAGAGAGGCCAAGGACAAGATGCTAGACTCTTGATCCAGGATGGAGCAAGGCTTACGGAAGGCGAGGCAGAGATGCCAGCGAGGAGCCAGCCACAGTGGCCTGGATGAGGCTTGGTGCCGCAGAGAGGCCTGGCCATCTCTGGAAGCTATGACTGTATTCACGTTAGCCAAGGATAGCTACTCTAAAATATTTATCATTTACTTATTCAGAAATGCCAGGAATTTTTTTGGGGGGGGCAGTTCTTGAGACAGGGTTTTTCTGTATAGCTTTGACTGTCCTAGATTCACTTTGTAGAGCAGGCTGGCCTTGAACTCACAGCAATCCTCCTGCCTCTGCCTCCCTAAGTGCCCTGCTAAAGGCCAGGATCCTGACTTGGCATCTAATGAAGGAAGGAGGGTTAACTCACTGTGTTCATTTGTGTCCATGCTGATCGTCTCCTTATATGTTATTTTAGGTTTTTATGTTAGGTTATTATACCTTTTTCCCCCTTTGGAGAAGTTATTGTCTCCATTTTTTTCTGATGAGGAAACTGAGTCACAGAGATGGCTCCGGAGCCAAATATATGAACTTTGTCCTGTCCAATTTCAAAAATTAGGCAGTTCCCACAATGGAGGATGGGGAGGAGGAGCAGGGTGGCATCAGTGGGTCAGTTGGCACTGCTCAGTTTACCGGGTCCCTGGGGGGCTGGGTGAGTGCGGGGATTGGGCTGTGAGGAAGCACACAGCAGGCTGAGGGATCTCAGCTCCTCCAGGTTCACCGTTTCCCTTTGCCTTCCACCTTGAGACCCAGGAGGTGATTGACGTGTCACCTGGCTATAAGCTCATTCGAAATCGGGAACAGATTTCAGTCACCCTGGGAGATGAGATGTTCATTAGGAAAAAGCGCTTGGAATCAGACATCTTGAACAAAGTCAAATATTCCAGGTAAAGTCTTTGGATCAATGCCAGCTTCTCAGAGCCAGCTCTGCCCAGCTGGTGAGCTCTGCCTGGCCCCAGTTGAGCACCTGATACCCATGTCCAGACCACCGGGCCTTGCTCAGAAAGACCTACAAGAATGGGGAACCCAGCTAGCATGACTTACACTGAAGAGGAAAGTGTTCCTGCCACTCAAGGGAGGGAGAGGTGAAATTCTCTAAAATAGTCTGGATTCCGAGTGGGGGAATTAAGAGCAAAGCCAGTATTTCTGGAAGACTGGAGTATGCATCTTGGTTTTCATGATGTGTAATCCATAAATACCCATCCCTCCGGAAGCTGGTGTTAGGAAGGTGTGGCCTGGTCCAGTTGAGCACCAGCCATCTTCTTTCTCTGAAGCCCTGCCTCTCTTCTATCCTCTGACGTCATACTCACACCCATCCATCCATCCATTTCAGTTCCACCTCCTAAACCTCTCATTCATGGCTTCTACTTCCGCTCTAGAAGTGAGGCCCCTCACTTCTTACTCTTTCACTGGAGAGCTGGCCCAGCGTCGTCTCCTCCCAGCCCGAGTCTGCTGTAGAACTCTCCTTCTGAAGCTAGAGTGGCACACACTTTTAACCCCAGGGCTGGGGCGGTGTGTGTGGTGTGTGTGTGTGTGTGGGGGGGGGTGATCTCTGTGGGTCGCAGACTGACCTGCTCTACATAGCAAGTTCCAGGCCAGCCAGGACTGTGTAGACAGACCCGTCATAAAAAACAAAGAACGAACAAGGAAAGGCACTGTTGTTCCAAAGGATCTGGGAAGATGTTCAGTCGATCAAGTTACTTCCCATCTAAGCTGGGCAAGGTGACACATGCCCAGAATCCTAGCACCGAGAGACAGGCAGGAGACTCCCCGGGGCTCCTTGGCAGCTGAACTAGTCGAAACATGAGATCTAGGTTCAGTGAGAAAGCCTATCTCATAAAAGAAGTGAGAGCAACAGAGGAAGACTTTTAACATTGACCCCTGGCTTCCGTGTGCCCATGTGTGCATGCGCGCACACACACACACACACACACACATAAATACACACATACAGTCACCCATCTGCTGATACATCGAGAGGTGACATCTGAATTCTTGGGGATGATGTCATAAAATGGAGGCCACGAGTCAGCACTCTCAGCTGGTGCAGAGAAGCCAGAGCCTTGTCCCTGTCCTCCCGTGCCATCAGGGCTGGGGTGGGGATTCAGCTTCTTTTTTTCTCTTCCCCGTTCAACTCGACACCATCTGTAGGGAGAAATGTGCCCGTAAGCAAAGTACGGTCCATAGCTACCCCCTGCTCTCGGATAGAGGAAGCTGTCTTCCTCTGCAGTAGAAGGAAACCGGCCGTGAGTGACCTGACTGGGAATGTCGTTTAAAGTGAAGTTCACGTCTAAAAGACAAAATGTTTCCACTTTCCATCCTCCTCATCCACTGCTTCTCTCTTCCCCTGCATCCTTTCTCTTGTTTTCTCACCTGACACCTTGTCTATGCCAAGAGAAGAATTGGCAATGCCGAGGAAAGGAAACCTCTTGACCTAAGAACTTCGTCACAGCTCCACCACGGCGTCACCCCCAAAGCGGAATATTTCACAGATGCACGGCATACAGAAAGCCATTGCATGGGCTGAAAGCCACTTTTGAAAAAGCCCCCTATCCCAGGCATGGTTCTGCACACCTTTAATCCCAGCACTTGAGAGGCACTGGCAGGTAGATCTCTGTGAGCTTGAGGCCAGCCTGGTCTATAAAGCGAGTCCAAGACAGCCAGGGCGCCACAGAGAAAACCTGTCTCAAAAAAAAAAAAAAAAAAAAAAATTTGGGGGGGGGGGGGGGGGGGACTGGAGAGATGGCTCAGAGGTTAAGAGCACTGGTTGCTCTTCCAGAGGTCCTGAGTTCAATTCCCAGCAACCACATGGTGGTTCACAACTCTTTATAACAAGGTCTGGTGCCCTCTTCTGACCTGCAGGCCCACATTCAGGCAGAACACTGAACACATAATAAATAAATAAACCTTTTTTAAAAAATTTCTTTGAAGCACTATATAGCTGTGTAACCCAAGCAGGATGCAAACTCACTATCCTGTTCTTGAGTGCTGGGCTTGTAGGCGCGTGCCTCGCACACATACTCCTTATTTTAGCCTCCTCTGAGTCCCGTCCACGGCCCTGTCCATGGTCCGCTCTCAGCTCCCTGACGTCCTCACTTCCTTATGTTCAACTATTGAGAGCCAAGCTCCGTGAGTGACCAACACACTGGTATTTCTTTTCTGCTCAGAAGGACGCCCCACCACACCCTGATCACCTCCGCCTCGCTCACCGTAAGGGCCAGATGTGAGACCCAGCCACCCTGCTACCAGACGCCTTATTCAGGCCACCCTCGGGGCATCCCATGCCACGGTGGCAGAGCAGGCGCAAAACGGACCGGAGTCAGGCAGCTCGGGGCCTGGCTGGTGCCGCTATCAAGCTTTGTGGGTGATAGACATGTTTGTCCCACAGGGCTGATATCATTTCTGACCTTGAGGAGCAGATCTCCGAGTTGACAGCAGTAATAGAACAAATGAACACAGAACACAAGGCTTCCCAGAAATTGGTGAGTGACCCTTGCACCCACCACGCCCTCCAGACAAATCACTTCGATCACCTGAGCGCCAGGCAGCACGCTGGGCATGTCGTAGGAGAGAGCCGTGCTCTCCAGCCTCGGGACTCCGCACAGAGGCCTGTGCACTGAGCAGTATTCCCTGCCTCCGTCCTCATTCATCCCTGTAAAAACAGGGGGGTCTGTTTATTTTGAGACAGGGCTTCTCTGTGTGTAATTTTGGCTGTCCTGGAACTCACTCTGTAGGCCAGGCTGGCCTCAAACTCAAAGAGACTCGCCTGCCCCTACCTCTCAGGTGCCAGGATTAAAGGTGTGTGTCACCACAGCCAAGCTTTGATGCATTTTTAACAGGTGACATTTTTAACATTTTGGTCATCAGTTCCAGTTTCCATCGCTCCTTCCCCAGCTCAGGCAGGTGTGCCTTGTGACCAGGGCTGGAATGGCTGACCAGAGCCACGCTCGGAAACATGCACCCTTCGAGGCCCTGCCCCCCACCTCCAGCAGCCTCTCATGCTGATTTGTACCAGGCTGTCTGAACCTTTCAATCAGGAGCTGGCTCTTCACCAGACCTTTCCCACCTCTGATAGGAAGGAAGGAAAGAAGGAAAGAAGAAAGGAAGGAGGAAGGGAGGGAGGGAGAAAGGGAGGAAGGAAGGAAGGAAGGAAGGAAGGAAGGAAGGAAGGAAGGAAGGAAGGAAAAAGAAAAGCCCTGCAGGGTTGATGTTGTCTCTACAAACGAAAAGTTGAGGCTTGAGAGATTTATATCATTTGTATAATGTGGTGGGCTTCAGGCAAACTCAGGTTTTGGCTCTCCCGCTCAGGCCCTATGGAAGTCAACTTTAGAGCCGGTCTTCATGAGAGGGTTGGGGGGGAGGGTGTTGAACCTATTCCCACTGTGAGCAGCTCACTTGTAGTGTGACCTCTGAAAGGTCTCAGGGCCGGATTCAGGATGACACTGAGATGGGTTGTTAGGGCCAGGGCGTTTTTAGAGGAGTTATTAACACCACGGACGAACAGACAGACAACAGCATGGCAGAGACTCTGAGGAGTTCTCAGTCCCGTTGCCTCAGTTTACTATGAAGAAGAATAGGGCTCACCACGTGGAGGAGGAGCCTGCAGCCAAGATGGCTGATTCCCCAGGAGAGGGCAAGGAGGGAGGGAGTGGCCACAGGACGCCCTTTGACAGGTCTGCAGTCTGAATGTTGGTCCTTTTCTACTCTTGCAGCCAAATGTCTTGCTAAGTAAGCGATTCCCAAGTGTGAAAGAATCCAAAGGCCACAGACTTTTGGAACCAGACCCAGTGACAAAGGAGTAGAGAGACGGTGCCTGTGCACCACCTACAGGGTGGCCTGATTTGGTACAGGACGATCAGCACCGCTGTGTGCTGCCCTCTGCAGGGCAGAGCATGCACAGGGCAGACAGAGGGGGCATCTCCTCTGAGAGGGCCTCACAGGGGCAGGGAGAGCGGGCTGGGGTCTATATGCTGTGTTGTTAACGTTGGCCTCGTTTCCAGCTCTCCAATGAGATGGAGCAACGCTGCACTGAGTTGAAAGAGAAGTTTGAAAACGAGAACAGGTATGCAAAGGCCCGGATGCTGAGAGCCCAGGTGCCGGTGCCCGGGCAGGATTCCAGTTCCTCAGGGACTCCCAGGGGTGCCAAGGGAAGCTGGTTATGGGGGTGGGGGTGAGGGGGGGTGAGGGGTGGGGGAGGGAGATGCATGCTCAGAGAGCAGGGCAGCTTCCTTTGCGGCCACTAAGATAAAGCAGTTTGTTTTGCGTTCCTGCTTTTGCATCATTCATCCTTTCCATTTCCACTGTGATATTTCTCCCGTTCAGTTGCTGAGAAAAGCTATTTCGTTCTCCACAAAGCCTCTGTCGTAAATGATTTTCTATGAGTACATTCTCCTTCTCACCCCTCCTCCTCCTTCTAACCTCTGCTTTCCCTGACTCTGAGGTCAGGGCCAGGGCACAAAGGAAGAAGAGATGGGAGGAGAAGGGACAGGCCATGGCAAGTGAGGGGGAAATAAGAAGGAAGTGTGTCATCTGTGTGGGGAAAAGTCTTGCAAAGCCCTGAGGCTTCCTGTCCAACCTGAGCAGCCTGAGGAAGCCTGATGGGAGACAAGCACCGCCCCCACTCTGCCACCCACAGCTACTTGTTTATTAACAGCTTCTGATTGTTTAGGATCTTGACAAAATGAGGGAGAGTCTGAACTCCCATGCTTATTGCACACCAGGCAATAGAACCAGCCTGTGTTCTAGCAGCAGATGAGATGTTTAAAAAAAAATGCTGTTCTACTTCAAAAGAGAAGGAAATACTCCCAATAGTGAGAGAACATGGGTGGAGTGGAAGGACATTATGCTAAGTGAAACAAGCCAGGCGAAGACAAATTCTAGGTGTTCTCCCTCAGAGTTGAAATCTTTACCTCATAGAAAACAGAACATAGATGGGTGTTTCCTGAGGCTAGCCGATAAGTGGTGATTGTCAAAACGGACAGAATTTGGGCCAGTGCTTCCACCAGGCCTGAGGACCTGGATTTAACCTCCAGGACACACGTGGTAGAGGGAGAACACAGAGTCTCTCCTGTTGTACTCTGGCCTGTATGCATACAGGTACACAGTGTTCACATGCGCGCGTGTGCACACACACACACACACACACACACACACACACACACACACACCATACACACTAAATAAATGTATCAAAATCTCAAACAGGAGAAATATTTTTCAAAGAGCTTTGCAGGCCTTAGGATAATCATAATATTGTGTTTTTCATTTCTAATTGTGTAAGAGTACATTTTAAGGCTGGAGAGATGGCCCAGTGGCACAGAGCACATACTGCTCCTGTGCGGGACTTGACTTTGGTTCCCAGCTTTGGTGTGGTGGCTTATAACTACCTGTCCAGCTCCAGGGGCTCCAACGGCCTCTTCTGGATTCTGCAGGCACTACACTCACATATGCACACCCGAACACAGACACATATATATAAACAAGATTAAGAACCAAAAACAAACAAAAAACTTTTTTAGAAAGGAAAAAAAATAATTTCAAATATTCATGCCTCAAAAATATTAATCATTGAGTTGATGGCTCTGTAATAGTGTAAAGTTCACAACAAAATTACCAGAAAGGCACAGAGGGTCCTTGCACCCCTTTTGCCCCACCCCATAGACGCTCTCACTCTTCAGCATCCCTGGATGATGTTGCATTTGTCACAGCTGATGAACCTGCGTTGACACACCCTTATCATCTGCTCGGGAGTCCCTCCTGGTGTGGAACATTCTGGGCGGAGGGGGAGAAACACAACAGCTGCATGTGTGGACATGTATTCGCTGTGAGGGAGCCGGGCACAGTGGCTTCACTATCTCAGCACCTGCTGCTCACTCCCCACCCCTTCCCAAGGCAAAGCCCAGACGCCTCTGGTTTTTCTGTCCCACGTCTTTTCCTTGCCTAATGCTGGAATACTATAACAGGTAGTCTTTGCACAATCGCCTTTTTCCTTTAGTAATGCCTGTTTAGGTTTCTTGAGTCTGATTTAAGGCCTGGAGGCTCTCACTTTAATAGCCAGACACTATCAACATGTGGGCCCTGGGATGGGGGCTGGACCTGGGGCTCTAAACTTATTCTGGGTGCAGCTATAAGTGAGCTGTAAGCAAAGACTGTTGGCTGTGAAGGGGAATCTGAGGCCCTTGCCCAAGCTCTATTCAAAGCCGTGAGTGTAGGAGACGCCTCGATCTGGACAGAAACCAGGAGAATGCTTCAGGAAGTGAGGGCCCCACCTTGGTGAGGACAGAGAGGGAAGGGCATATCAGTGCAACAGATCAACTCTGGACTTCGTGGTGTGTGTGTGTGTGTGTGTGTGTGTGTGTGTGTGTGACACACTTGGCGTCACAGTGTCCCTGTGGATTGTGGAAGACAGCTTTTGGAAGCTCTTTCCTTCCACAGTGGGATCCAGGGATCAGATCCAGGTTGTCCGGCTTCCATGGCAAGCACCTTTCCCTGCTGAGCCGGATTGCTGACTCGGGGCTTCTTTTCATCAACTGTCCCACAGGGATCTCAAAAAGTCTCACAAAATGGAGCTTGAGAAGTTAGAGGACAGCTACAAAGAAGCCTTGAAGGCAGAGAAGGTTGCTGCCCAGGAGAAACTAGGTACTGCCAGGCCCCGGGGTAGCCTAGGAATGGTGGTTAGTCTGGGCCCTGACAACCCCATGGCCGTGGGATAGCTCAGTCCATGTGTGCTGTGTAACATTTCCATGCTGAAGCTTTTGGGGCAGAGGTGAGAGTGACTAAGAATAACACTGGGAAGAGGGAGGGTCACGGCCTTGAAAATCTGCTCTCATCAGTGAAAAAATATGAATATTTTTTCAAAGTGCGTTTTAAAGTCTAAAATGATGATACCATTATGATTCCTCTGGGTTCTCTCACATGTAAAATGGCAGTGTTTTATTAAATCCTAACTGGAATACCATGATTGCAAGACTATGCAGCACAGAGGGCTATACTGGTTATATCTCACTGCTGTTGGGAAAAGCAGAGTGTGCACCCTTCTGGCTTTAGAGACTAATGTCCACAGAAAGAACGAGAAACTCTTGCCTTCTTCCTTTATTTTAAGTTAGTGTCTTACTTTGTTTCCCACTCTCCTGAAGAGAATGTGTGGTTTTCATAACGTAAAAGGGGAAATGCTACCAAAAGGAGAAGCAGATGCACGCTGGGAAGTTTCAAATGCATGCTGGGAGATTTCAGATGCATGCTGGGAGGCTTTGTTCCTCCTTCCCATAGGTTCAGATTACCCCTGGGGGCTGAACAGGTGGGGATGGGATCCAACATCTGGGTTTTTGATAAGTTTCTGAGGTGATTTGAGCGTCATTCGAAGGTTTAATGGCCTGGGTGGGGGACAGGTAATGGATATGGTGCTGAGGAGGACACATAGCTTTGGAAAGTGTGGCCTTTCGCAGGAATAGTGATGGCCTCTTTTTCTTTCTGTGCAGAGGAGCTAAGCAAAGAATATAAGTATCTGAAGAACATGTTTCACATGTATCAGGTGAGATTCAAAGCTGTATGGTGGATTCTGAGGGGAAGAGAAGGAAGGCTTGTTGCTGGCCGACTACATGGGGATGAATCCAGACCTACAGAGATTCTGCACAGGGTCACTATTGTCCCCAGCAGGAAGTATGAGCACAGCGGCTTCCGTGCTTGACAAACCAGCCGCGCAACTCTGAAGAGGCCTATTGAAACGAAAATGTGTTTGTGGTCATCAAAATAATAGCTGTTCATTGTTTTTTAAAAAATAAAGAGGCGGGACACATAGTGCACAGACATACCTGTAGGCAAACACTTATACACAGAAAGCAAATAATTTTTTTTAGTGGCAATAACCAACACCCGGGCTTTGTTGAAACTTTCACTGAGATGGTGGTATACCAAATCTCTGTACATTTTTGTATCCTCTTTTCATTGGGAATTTTAGGGCACTTTGAACATATTTGATCCTAACAGTGGAGCACTGGTCAAAGAAATGAACCTATTTAAGACTTTTCACAGATTTGGCCAAACTGCCATCCATAAAGTCCTAACCTCATTCCCCCTTCAGTGAGCAATTTCAGAACATAAGCATTTCCTTTAATTTCCTTTAATGCTGCACTGGTTGGGTTTGTTGTCAATATGGCTCAAACTGGACTCATCTGAGAGGAGGGAGCCTCCTGTGAGAAATTGTCTCCATTGCCTGACGATTAATCTGTGGGGCAATGCCTTGATTAGTAATCTGAGGTGGAAGGGCCCAGCCCAGTGGGTGGGGACACCTGTGGGCAGGCAGACCTGGCGCATCTATGAAAGCCACAAGGAGCAAGCCCCTGGCACCTGTTCCTTCCTGAGTCCTGACTTCCCTCAGGGCTGGGCTATAATGGGGAAGTGTAAGTTAAATGGAAAGTATGAGTTAAATAAACCCTTTCCTGCCCAGGTTGCTTTAGTCAGCCTGTTTTAACACAGCTATAGAAAGCAAAATAGGGCAAGTCCCAGAGTTAGAGCAGGCTGCCTTATGGGGAGATGCAGAATCAGATACAGAGAGCCTTGCCTGACTTCAGCAATGGAGGGGCCCCTCGGGAGGCCCAAGTGAGGGGAGAGTAAGGCTCCAGGGTCCAGTCACAGCCTTGGCAGTGTTCTCACGTTATAGCTCTTTTCACGGTACCCTTGTGCCTCCACAGGATAGCATCTACGACGAAATGGAAGATAAGTGGTTAAAGCGGAAGGCAGAATGGGAGAGGGATGAGAGGTTTGAAAGGGAAAAGATCCTGCTACAACAAAGTGAGTAATGCAGAAGGCGCTGGCTGTTAGCAATGACAAGAGTATCAACCTTGACCTTGACTTAAGGGAAGGGGCCTTGGCTTTACCAAGGGTGAAAGGGCCAGATGCTGAACTTCTGAAGGAAAGGCACCTAGAGTTACTAGGAAACAAAGAAAGACAGTGAAGGCAAGGCTTTTTTTTTTTTTTTTATTTCAGACATGAATTAAAGGGTCTAAATCTTACTTGTTTGCCCATGATGGGCTGAAACAAATATTAGTATTGACATCTATGAAGAAATGCAGAACCAAAAGGAAAGAAAAGAAATATAAAATTCCAGGAGGAATTCTTAAATTAGAATTTAAATTATGCAGTGTGTAAGAGAGAGAGGGAGAGAGAGAGAGACAGACACAGGGGGATAGCAGACAGCAGTCTATTTCACTGTCAGCCTGAGTGTGCCCACATCCTCCACAGAAGTCACGATTAGTACTTTCAGTCTAACACTAGACTAGAGCTCAGACCATACAAAGTGTTCCGCAGCCGCAGCAATCACCCACTGAGCTTCCCAGAAAAGGGAGGAACCAGGAAGATGCAGAAATTGTTCCTGGGTCTACGGGAAAAACTGAGGTGGGTGTGTGCCTCTGCACACCTGTTCCACATTCCACGCCGACTCCATCCCTTGGTTAAGATCCAGTTGGTCACATAAAGGCTTCTGGGAAAGTCACTTGCCTAGGCAGGGCAAGTGAGACTGGGAAGGAAATGCAGAGCCACATCCGTTTAGAGCTTTGCCTGGATACTGAAGCACCGGAAGAATCCCACACTGAGGAGAAAAAAAAAAAAAAAAAAAAAAAACTAAGTCAGGTGCAACCCCATTTTGAAAAAGCAGAATTCAGCTTTAGGCACCCACCAGTCGCTGCAGCTGGACAAAAACTGAGGGAATTTGTTTTTGATTTTTCCCTTCCAACTATTTGGAGCCAGGGATCCCCAGCTAGGCTTGAAAACTAGACAAGATATTTAAAGAGGAAAATGCTCAAGAAAGCACAGTCATGACTTCAGTGGAGGAAACAGAACAACAAGGAGCAGACAGAAACTAAACCACACTCCAGAACAGAGCTGCCACGGGCTGAGCTCCTGTGCTACTGTCCCTGGGCACACAGGAGGTCCACCTCCACTCCCCAGCTGAGGGTCGGTGCAGTCAGCCCTGGCTGAAACAGGTTCAGTCCAGTGTGGAACTGTTTCTGCTTTCAGTTATCCGGGTTTCTCTCTGGCCTGCCTCTTCCAACATTAACATACAAATCTGCTTTTCTTCTCACCTCCACAGAACATAAGATAACAAAAAGGTTTGAGTTAGAGTCGGTAGAAGAAAAAAGGAGGATGAACGAATCCTTGGGTGCTATCTATGAAAACTTCAATCGAGAGAAAGAGGTAACAGAACACTCACCGGTTGACAGTATGATCTGGGCGGGGCAGCCGAGCCTGGTGGGCCTGCATACTTAGGTGACCGCCCCCCCCCCCCCCCCGTGGACATACTCCTCCTCGTTCATTCAACTTTCCTGGAAATACATGCGAAAAGAATGACTCTTGTGGTTTGCTTTTGGTTGCTGTGATAAACCGTGACTGAAAGCCAGTTGAAGGAAAAGGATTTGTTTCATCTCATAGGTTGCGGTCCATCCTCAGCTTCCAAGGCAGGAACTTGAACTGGAAATCACTGAGGAACACTGCTTCCTGGCTTGCTCGTGTTCAGCTGCCTCCTTTACACTGCCCACGGCCACCTTGGGAGGGATGGTGATAGCTACAGTAGGCTGGACCATCCTGGATCCACTGGTTGTCAAGAAAATGCGCCACAGGCATGCCCACAGGCCAATGTGATGGAGGCAGTGGTTCCCCAAATTGAAACTCTGGGTTGTGTCGAGTTGACAGCCAAGGCCACATAAGAGAATGATCGCCTGGGGGTCCTTTGCAGCCAGACAGTCTCACCAGAAGGAGTTTGGGAATGAAGACGGTCATTCGTAGGCATTAGCAGTACATTAAACATGCAAAATCTGGATAAGGCAAGACTCATGCACCTGCTAGCCAATAAGAAAGCCCAAAACAAGATTTTCCCCACAGAGGGACACTGACTAAGCGAAGATGTGATATTAGCATGCCAGCCCCAAACACACTTCCCATGTCAGACCTCTGAGCTCTTGAATGCATGGAAGGTTTGCTGGCAGCTGATGTGGTCGCATTAGAAGGGCAGAATGCTGTAACCACTAAAACCATCAGGCAGCCAGAATGCCTCCCAAGCAGAAGGATCATTCTGGGATCAAGTCTTGGGCTTTAGCCCCTAAAAATACAGGCTATAAGCTTTCTTAGATTTCTCCATCTTCTTCATGCAAAACGGAGAGTTTTCTAACATTTTGAATATTTCACTTGTGTGTAAATTTCTGACCATCTCGATGATTCCTCTTCCATTAAACCCATCCCCTTCACGCCTGCCTCAGACAACCACCCATTGGTTTCTTCCACAATGGACTCAAAATTTATCAGTAGTTTTTGTTTCGTTTTGTTTAAAAAGAACTGTTGATTTTGTTGTTCTGATAGCATAATTTATTTTAAAGTAGGCACGAACACAGTTGCTCGTCATCCTGCCAAATGTAGAAAACATCCTCCTCCGTGAATGTCTAAGGACAATGCACATGCTTGTCAGTCATCTACGATTGAACAGTTTTTGTTTTTGTTTTTTATTTCTGACTTTTAAGTTTAAGTAGCTCCAGGTAAAAGAATGGCTGAAGGAACCCTGTCTTATGCTAGGCATCCATCTTGGTACCCACTAGCCATTTGTCTCTGACTCCAGTCCCTGGAACATCTTCTGGTGACCCCCACCCAAAAATGCACAGCTGTTACCATCTATTTGTTATGATATGAATGATGGCCTTTGGCTCCTGTGACCTGCTTATGCAGTCAAAGACCATTTTCAGGTCGCCTGGACTACCTCCTCTTGGCAGAGCAGAACAGCGCCTGGCTTGCTGGTGCAGATACTCAAGGACTATAATGTAGATTGAGTCTGTGGTCTTTAAGCTGGGGTCTCAACCTCAACCATAACAATGGCTACCTTGCCCAAGGTTCTACTATGGAGTCCTGTGAGCCTTCAATGGGTTTCCTGTGGCTCTCTGTAGCTGGGTTTACTTTTTGCACTTTTCAGCCATATCTTAACTCCCCCACCATCCCTTTCCTCCCGAACTTGCTCTTCCCATTGTTCATTTTCTCCTTCTTTCTTCTCCCCTCCAGCTGTTTCTCACAGTTGCTATTTTCCTTTTGCCTTTTCGTGCAGACATTCTTTCTCTGGTTCCTTTGCTGACTTTTCTCTCTATTAATGAAATTTACTTTTAATTTATTTGTCTTTTGGTTTTTCCAGACAGGGTTTCTCTGTGAAGCCCTGGCTGTCCTGGAATTTATTAATATCAAGCCACGCCTTTAATCCCAGCACTAGAGAAACAGAGGCGGGAGAATCTCTGTGAGTTTGAGGCTAGCCTGGTCTACATGGCGAGTTCTAGGAGAGCCAGGGCTAGGGAGAGAAACCTTGTCTGGTTATTTCTCCTGGCCGCATTCCTTATGCTTCTCTCCAGTACTTATCTTTTTTCATATCTCACTCCTTCCTTCCCTTTCGTAGTTGAGTTTTTTCTTGGCAGAAGTCTTGCTCCTTATTCCCAGCAGACTTCACTTCCTGTGGGGTCAGGGTGCTTTGTGAACGCTCCCTGTTTCCGTCCTGATAATTTTCTGACCCAGAGGACCTGCTGGAACCCAAGGGCACGATTCCCTGCAGGCTCCCCATCTCCACCGCATCTTTGCCCCCAGCTTCCTCCTCCTCCTCCTCCTCCTCCTCCTCCTTGACCCTTCCATCATCGTCTTCATCCAACAGAAAGCTCTGGTGGCCGTGGGGAGGTCACAGCAGCGTGGTGGGAGCCCTGTGCCTCAGAGGTGAGCTACTGTCGGGTATCACCCCCACCTCAGCCTCAGATCTCAGGAGGGGTCGTCGTGTGAGCAGTGGGGACACAGCTGCTCAAACAGCAGACACAGCCCACTGCCACCTCTGGCCCAGCAAGTGCAAACTAGCCAGCAGCAGCGCTGCTGGGTTTTTGGGTTCTAAAACTTAATGTAAACATTTCTTTTTTTAAGGTTTATTTTTGTTTGCATTGGGGTTTTAGCTGCATGCATGTCTGTGTGAGGGTGCCAGATCCTCTGAACTAGAGTTACAGACAGCAGTGAGCTGCCATGTGGGTGCTGGGAATTGAACTTGAACTTGAACTTGGGTCCTCTGCAAGAGCATCTGTGTAAATTTTACAGCTTCTCATGTATATCAGTTGATAGTGTCTAAAGTTCACTGAGTTTTATATTCCTGAATCCTCTGATGCCTGCTGCTGCTTTTTTTCTCTGTGTAGCTGTCCTGGACTCACTTTGTAGACCAGGCTGGCCTCAAACTCACAGAGATATACACCTGCCTCTGCCTCCCCGAGTGCTGGGATTATAGACTTGTGCCACCGCACCCAACTTCTCTGATGGCTTCTTAATTCCCTAAAAGAATATCCAGAACCATGAAGCTAACCTTTTTAAATAAAATTGTTTTTTAGGAGCTCATGAAAAAACATAATGAAGATATGTTGGAAATACAAGAGCTGAAGAAATCCAAAGAGGTAAGCATTTCCATTCAACTCTGTGCAACTAGTGTCTTCCAAATGATGCATTCTTGGGAAAATGAAATCCAGCTTTACCCAAACCAGTAAAATTAATGGAGCTCCTAAATCTAATTGTTGAACTGAGTAAGTCAAAATGAATCTCGAGCTGTATGCAAAACAAATGCAGCCTTTCTCAGCGTCAGCTGTGAACAATTAGATCAGCAACAGACTGAACGGTCATCGATGCTGAATGTCATCCATATTTAACAAAGCTTAAAACATAGGATTTTGAATCACAGAATATTGTCATTGTCTTTGTTTTATTGCTGTGAAGAGACACCATGACCAAGGCATGGTGATGTGTGTGTGTGTGTGTGTGTGTGTGTATTTATATATATTTATATTTATATATATTGCTGAGATATATATATATATATATATATGCAAAAACATTTCATTGGGGCTGGCTTACAGTTTCAGAGGGTTAGTCTGTTGTCGTCATGGCGGGAAGTATGTCAGCGTGCAGGCAGACATGCTGGAGAAGGAGCTGAGAGTTCTCCATCTTGATCCACAGGCAGCAGAAGGAGACTGTGTCACACTGGGCATATGACCTCAAGGCCCACCTCCACAGTGACGCACTTCCTTCAACAAGGACACACCTTCTAATAGTACCACTCTCTGTGACCAATCATTCGATCGCCTCAGTCTATGGGTGGGAGGCAAACATACTCAAACCACCACAGGCACGTTCTTTCAAACGTCTCCTGTAGAACTTTGGGTGTAGCCTGCCCAAGGCCATTTCTGCAGGGGCTCCCTTCTGCCGGGAAACACAAGGCCGTTTGTGAAGGCAGATGAAAAAAAGTTAAGCAAAAGTAACGTGTGCTCCCCTTTTCACTGAGAAATGTAGTTGTGCCCGGAATAGACATATCTGAGAAAAAAATTAGTCACTGCACAGACATGATGAAGAAATAATATCTTCAAGTCCCCCAGCAACTTAAGGGCCAAATAGACGTCGACATCCTGCGCGGTAAACAACACGGCTTCTGAGCCAGGGTGCCCTAATGTATTCGGAAAACAGCTTCTCGGCTAATTCTGCCGTAGAGGTTCTTTCTGAGCCTGTTTCCCCTGAAGACTTGTTTGCAAGCCTGCTGAGTTTCCAGTTCGTGCTAGCCATTGTGAAGCCTACCTTGCTGGGTACTGAGTATTTTTATGTTCCTTCACATGCTCACAGACGTCGTTTTGGGATGAGGCGGTTAAGTGGTTTGGAAGCAGTCTGAGCCTTTCAAGTCTTGCTGGTTGGAGTTAAAGCTTGGTGTAGAGCAACCCTCTTCTAAAGGTCCTCCCGACTCCTCTGCAACAGGTCTGCTCCAGCCTACCTGATGGGGCTGAATTACTCTTAGTCCAAGGGCTTATGGTGCCTGCTCCCTTCTCTCCCTCAACTCACCTCCTTTAGTTCTACCTTCTATCACTCCTCTCCAAATCCCTGAACTTTTTGTGGGGTTTTTAAAGGGATAGAGTGTCCTACCTTGGAGGTCTTGGCCTTTGACAGTGTGTCTTCCTAAAGACCTCTTTCCCAGAAATTTCCAAAGCAACTTTTCTCCTTCTTCTGGTCTTTACTTAACTGGCAACCTCTTGGGAGTCAGTCTGTTTAAACACTCAGCCCTCTGCTCCAACATATCCTCTTCTGCTTTGCTTTTCTACATCAACTTAATCATCCAAGCAGATAAATTCTGTATATTTTCTTTACTATTTCGAATTCTTAGTTCCTAAAATAGTGCCTAGCACACTATGGGCTTTACATAAACACTAGTTGATCCTTGAATGGATAAATGAATGCGTGAATGCCACTCCCCCCTCTGCACCTCAGCCCAGCATCTGTTTCCATTCACTGTCTGAGACTGTCCTGTAACTTCCAAGTCACTAAACCCAAGGCTTGTACTGCCTCTGACACCCTAGATGAGCTGAGCCTCAGACCGTTGGCCAGTCCTTACTTGAGTCATTCCCCTCAGCTTCCCTGGGTATCTGGTGCTCCCTTTACTTGGACGCCTGCCTCTCCATCTTCCTGGTAGGTCCTCCTCGTTCCTGAGCTTCTGAGCCCAGGAATGCATTATCTTCCTTGTTCCACTCCTCCAGCCCACACTCCATGGAGCGAGGAGATGAAGACTGGCGGTGAAGCCCATACAAACACTCACCTGTCTGAAGCCGTGGGTGGCCCCCCTGTTTTCAGGTTATGGTGGCCTCCAGGATGACCGATTCTGTACGCCTTCACTGTTAGGGCTAGTTTTTAAACTCTATTTGGTTTCTTATGCCTCGACCTCCCTTCTCTACCCCTTATCCCTTCCAACACCCCAACACTGTGTAGGAGAAGAAGGTCAGTGGGGACAGGGGCCATAGTTCTCTTTCACTACTTCCTGCTGGTTAGGGTTGTTGGGTTCTTTGGGACAGTGCCAATCTTTGTTTCAGCATATAGCCAACTTCTTCTCATTAAACTGCAACAACAGCAATCAGGAGCAGCAGAGGGGAGCACTGGCATTCTTGTTCTTTCTCAGAGCACCCCCAACGCTTTTTGGGTGCTGGCATTTATTCCCTCTGCAGAGTCCTCAGAATTAAACTCTGTGCAGCTGTCCCCTCTCAGAGCCTGCACGAGGCAAACAGCCCTCTGATGTGGACAGTCCCATATCCCACACGTGGGATAAAAAAAAAAAAAAAAAGACATATTTACAATAATGTAAGTGAGTTTTTAAAGACACCGAAACTTTCCACTCCACTCCACCTTGGCTTATTGTCTCTACATTCTAGCCACACTAGTATTCCTTATGGACAGCTACACATTTTGCTTTCTTAGGGCTTGGCATGACTTTCTTCGGAACTTTGTTTAATTGGTGGAGTATCTGTTAAAGCAGATTTAGGATTACAGAAAAAATGAGGCACAGGTAGTCCTCCATCTTGAGAGTTCTTTCCCTTATCACATCCCATCCTTCTCCTCACACTCCCCCTGCTAGCAGCTTGCACTAGGGTGATATGTTAGTCACTGAGCAGCCAATATCAACACTGTTGTTAACTGAGGTCCCTGGTTTACATGTGGGTATTGGTTAAAATGTCATGTCAGGTATCCATCAAACAAAATAGTTTCCTGCTCTGAAACTGCCCTCTTTCCCTCCTTCCCCCTTCACCTCCCTCCCAACCTCTGAACTCACAGAGCTTTTTATAGCCTTTAGTGTTTCACCTTTTTCAGAGTATCACAGAGTTGGAGTCAGTAGGAGGAGGTATTATAATAAAGAATATGCAATGTGGGCCCGGGTAATGCTTCAGTAGCTAAGAGCATTTGTTTTTCTTCCAGAAGACCAGAGCTTATGCCCTAGCATCCAAATCAGGTGGCTCACAGCTGCCTATAATTCTGTTTCCAGAGGATCTGAAGCTCCTTCTGGCTTTTGGAGCCTCCCACACTCTCATGTGTGTGTGGACACACACACACACAAAACATTAAAAATTAAATATTAACTTTTGTAAAGAGACACAAAGTTGGAAAGAGGAAGGGATGGATCTAGTTAGGGGAAAGTGAGAGGTTAATATGCATTGTATTATTCATGTGAGAAATTCTCAAAAATACTATATCTTAAAAATAATAATTTAAAAAAAGTTAGTGAATGAATGGCTGATGATCACTGTGACTACCACTTGCATTCTGATGAGGTGAGGGCTGCTTTGGCAGCCATGACAGTGAGACTAAAGAGCAGGATACAGGTGGGAGAGAAAGAGAAGGGTAGAAATGACAGCATGGTGACTGGCTGGCTGTAAGGGGTCCAAGAGAAAGCAGCTGAGGTTGTCACAGTGCATTCTATTCCAAGTGCCCTGGAGAAGAAAAGTCCTTGAGTTCTCACCTGTCTCTGGGAGGGACATAGCATCAGCATGAGGTTCTGAGTCACTTTCCTCTTGTGCAGATCATGGAGGCTGAATTGCGGGCACAATCTATTATTCTGGAGACACTGAACACCAACTTTTACCAAATCCAGATGGAACTCCATAGAGAGGTGAGTCCTGGTTGGAGTGAGGGCCAGGCTAGAGAGAAAGCCAGGACATTGTGCTGTTCTGACTAAGAGCTCTGCCCCAGGGGCTCTGGTGAAGACAGCTATTCAAATTTATCTTTCAGAAAACTATAGCGGGAAATCTGGAGAGGTTGTTCCAGGCAAAGCTTGCTGAAGCTGAAGAAAAGTATAAGCACACCATACAGCTCCTGACAGAAGAAAATGCCCGCCTCAGGTACGGTGCTGTTGCTCAGGGCAACTTGGCTGACTCACCTCTGAAAGCGGGAGGATGTTCAGGTGGGGAATGGGTCAGGACAAACCAGGGGCTGCTTGCAGATGTCACGGTCCTGTTATTTGGGAGGAGGCAGATACTGGGTCTGGACACACACTTACAATGGAGGTCGATCATTTGAGGCCGGCAGTTCGTTGTGTATCAAGCCTTTGCTCCTGTGTGTCTGTTTTTGTGTAAAACAGAGCAAATCTGTCTATGGAGAGCTGAGTTGCTTCGTCTTGCGACTGAGGGTTGTTTTTCAGAGTTCAGGGGGGTTTAACTCTCAGATTTGGGCACTTCTGGCTCCTGTTAAGCTCAGCTGCCAATCAGAACCACCAGTGCTTGAAGGACCTCAGAATAAACAAGAAGATGTTACCCAGCGCGTCAATTCCACTGGGAATATGATCACCCAAACACATTTCACCAAATTTAGAGCGATTGCAGGGATGAGAGAGACGGATTCCTCAGGCAGGCAGGAAGCCGAATTTCTCCCACCCACCAGCAAATAACCCTACATCCCCTCTCGCCTTTGAGGCTACGGAGATACAGTGCCTATCATTCTTTTCACAGACAAAAGCTCAAAACGAAGAACGAAGAAACTTCTGAAGAAACACCTGAGAAGCTGGCCTGCGTCACTTCTTCTGTTCAAGAGTGGGACCCTCCTGTTGGCAACAACAAAAAGTTGTCGTAGGAAGCCAGCTACACTGCTCGGTGGCCGAAGCAACAACCCCTCCCAGTGGAGCTTCGGACTCTGGCAGGGTTTTCTCTGGAGGTGCTCATTGAGTTCTTTGGTTGTTACGACTTTATCACCTCCACCACCTTTTTTTTTTTTAAGATTTGCTTTCTTTGGACTGGTTAGAAATGTTTGAATTCTTATCTCAATTATATTGTGACTCTTCTGCTTTTTACATATTTTTACTGGAGACTAGTTTGAAGGGTCTCCTTTTTGAGTGATGCTTGCATTTTTGGGGTGTAGCTCTTGTCCCCCGAGGGCAAGTAGCAAGCAAGACTTTTTTCTTTTCTTTTCTTTTTTTTTTTGCAATTTTGATTCAATTCCACAAACTTTATTCCCTTATATATCATATTCCTTAACCCAATGGCTTGGGAAAAGTAATTGACTCTGAGCATCTTGAGAATTCACATGCCTACAGGGCAGTGGATAGACGCAAGAGGACCAATCACACAGCAGCATGTTAAAGCCTCGGTGCAGACAGAGGCAAAGAGAGAGGGCTGAGGAACTTGGAGCCACACCTTGATCAGGGCACTTCCAAGACTCATCGCCCACCTTTTGGGTGCATGGGGTCACAATGATTTTTTTTTTTTTAATATGCTGGTTTTCCTGTGGAAGTGCTCCTTTTAAGTGTTGGCAATGAATGTTAAACAGTGGTGGAGGCAAATACTAGAAGATGAATGCCTCCCAGGTGTGAACATGCCATTTGTAAAACTGGCAAAACAGAACAAAACAGAAAAAAGCAAAGACAAGCAAAAGGATCCCCCTAGAAACAGTAAGGTAAACTTATAACTTGTACGATTTTTTTTAACAGCCTTTTCTTCTCACTAACAGTTTATTTAGGAGGGAATAGAAAAATATGAAATTATATCAGTACAAATTCAGTAAACTATACACTAAGGAACAATGCATAGGGCAGACAACTTGGTTTCTTCTAAAATGTTATATGAAAATATATATTTTTTAAAAATACATTAATGTGGAATTTGAAATACAAACAAAATTCAAGATACAGATCTTGCTAGATCATGGCTCAAACAAACTGTAAAAATACAAGACTGTGGGGAGATTCCGAATACTGGCTGGTATTTTATGTTGTCAAAGACTTTAGCTATCTAAGAAGGACCTCATCTTTAGAGACTCGGGTCTCTAAACCGTACAGACGTAGAGAGATTCCACTTTAGCGGGACCCAGGACAATCCACGCAAGGCAGGCACGTAGAGACACCATTAGTGAGGCCGCACTGCGGGGGTGGGGGAGGGGACAGCTGTTGACGTGGGGTGACTCGGACACATGGCATCGGCAAGCTGCTCCTGTTCTCTTTCAGTATATTTGTGAGGATTCTCCTAATAAAATACGAACATTTTGCATGCACATATGCGTAGTCTCCTCAGTCACTCTCCACCTAACTCACGGAGGCAAGGTGCCTCCTTGACCCTCTAGCCCTCTGATGCTGCAAGTCTGGCCCCACAGGGTGTCTCTGCCCTCCAAGTGCAGGAATCACAGGAGGGCGGATGTGCCCGTGGGCATTTATGTCAGTTCTAGGGATCTGAACCCGGGCCCTCACATTCTGTTTGGCAAGTAACTTTTAACTGCTGAGCCGCCTCCTCATCATGGACAAGTTTATTTCTTAAGTGCACTGGGAAAAACATAGCCATGGGAGCGTTTTCACAGCGATTCCCTCCGGAATCAAAGGGAGCCTCTTCTCTTTATCTTCACGCATGTTTCCCAATAGCCCTCTCCTCTAAAGAGCTTTCAACTGATCATGAACTCACCCTGGAGATGTTAGGAACTAGTGTCCAAAAATTAATGAAAACTACTGGGACAATCACACCCTGCCCTGCCTTAATAGTGTTTTATTAACTCTCTAAGAATGTCACACAGTGAATGCTGATGATATCTACCCCAGCTGCCAAGTTGTCCTGGGGACACTCTCCAATCTAACTTTCCTAACTCACCCAACCTTTATTTGGGGGAGGGGGGGCGTTCAAGACAAGGTTTTCTCTGTGTGGCCATAGCTGTCCTGGAACTCACTCTGTAGACCAGCCTTGGTCTCAAACTTAGACCTACCAGGGGGTCACACCATTTAAAAACAAAACAAAGCTGACTGGCCCTCTCCCGGCAGCTGCCAGGTGCTGCCAGGTCCTCAAGCTCCCCGCCCCGCTGCATGCTGGGATGCCGTCTGCCTTGAGCTTGCAAGGGCTTGTGTGTGGTGTCACAGGGGTTGAGTTCCTATGTGCAAATACCCAGAAAAGGGTTTTGTCCAGAAAAGGATTATACACTTTTTAGTTGTGCTTGTTATTAATAGTACAAAAAAGTACAACTTGAAAGTCCTTGCTCTTGTAAAGCCATTCTTCACTGTGTGTGTGTGTGTGTGTGTGTGTGTGTGTGTGTGTGTGTGTGTGT